CATTTTGACGAAATAGGCCTACCTGAAAAAAACGGACCGACTGCACACCCAAGTCCTATGCCAGACCGCAATATAACAAACAAAGTTTGCACATCCTGTCCACTGAGAACTTCAGCACAAGCGGCATACCAAGCTGCTATGATGGGCCCTTGACCAAGTCCCAAAACTGGTAAAGAATAAGATAACAGTAGTCCCTGTTATAGTTTATTAAAAGTGAAAAGAAACCTGGAATGTGCGAAAAAATCTAAACAAAAAAGTGAACGCTTTCCATATTTCTCCCACATTGACGGTTTAAGTTGCCTTTTATATTTTGGATTAAATTTATATGTTTTCCTAGTGCCAATAAGTACGAGAGAAAGTAATAATGTGACCCTTACCAGTACTGTATATGAACATCCACGTCAATGTCGTAAAAAATGGAGCAAGAACATTGTTGACCATAAGTAAACTTGCACAGATCACGTAGATGTAAAGAATGTAGCCTTTCACACGGTCCCCCAGTGTAGACACGAGCAGACGACTCAAAAATCCCGCCACGCCGTCTGCAGTCAAACAGTGAACGCCATCTTTCGACGTGTATCCTAAAATTTCCACTTGCCTTACCTGGAACAATTCGAATATTTATGAGACTGAATAACTCCACGATGAAATAAACTTGAAAATTGGATACATACTAGGAGAAACATTTATGGAATGGTAGAATACATGCGTAGGATCAGGTGCGGAATACAGATTTAAATGCAAATGGTTACAAAAGGACGAATCGTTTGAACCTAAATCAATTAAATATATTGGTATTTATAAGTTGTATTGGTGGTTTTACGTCAATGATACGCGTTATTCTTGGCATCAGCAACACGTCAAGGTTAAGTTACCACGCACGTTCTGCATAAAATTAGTTTTATTCGACTTGACTATGTAGTAAATATATCGAACTGGGAACGTGTGGACACCAAAACATGGGATCAGCAAAGGGTGTGTTTGCCGACAAATATCTAAACCTAGTTAAAAAACACAAGTATACAGTCATTTCAGCATTTTTCTCTGCCTTAAACCTTTCTTACCAAAATTGCATAGGAAATTGTTTGGCATATACCCTTGCTCAGGTAGATGACAAACCATATCACCATGACTACGGTGCGAATCTGCTGACTCCATTTTATCTCAACAGAGGGCGGGGCTTTGTGCCCAGGAAAAAGAAGAGCATATGGCTGTATCGCTTCTCGTAGCGCCTCTTTCGATGGTTTGTTCAAAGTGTGGATTGTAACGGTAGCCCACAACGCGTACAAGGTCGCTAGAACAAGATACCCGTATCTCCATCCGATTGTCTGATGTAGCCATTGTATAAAGTTTCCAAAAACGACTGTACCTGAAACAAGTACAGCATGATGGGTGGATATAACGGCTCAATACCAACTGTAACACGGCTAATTAAGTAAAGGAGGTCATGTAGTGAAAATAAACTTGCGTAGAACGCTTCCCTTTCACTAATTATTATAATTAAAGAAACTTTAAATTCAAATGGAGCTGTTAGGCATTAAATTGAAAAGGCGAACAAAATCCCTTTCCAATAAAGTCTTTTATTCAGAAGTTTCTCTGGTGAATCTGTACATGTAAAAGTCGAAAAAAAACCTACTTACCCAGAGGCATGGTAACCATAGACCAGCTAGTGCACATCACGTGGTATCTATGTTCCCATGGAAACCAGTCAGCCACGATCAGGTATAATGGCGATACAAGAATGTTTATCCCTAGACCGTATAAGACCCCATGGGAAAATATAAGGTATAGCACACTGGGGGCAATTGCAGATAGGCTTAATCCTAATACAACCAAAACAGTCCCAACGAATGCTGAAATTTTATAGCCACAGTCATGTGATGTGATTTTCCCTATGAAGCTCAAGGCAGCGCAGCACAGGAAGAAGACAGATTGGATAACACCTGGGAGACAATATACAATTCGTAAGTTTAAGTATAAATAAATGAATATGAGAATAAAAACACATAAAACATGCTGTTAAGTTGAAGAAGATAACCTTTTTCTTTATACAATAAGGTATCCTGAATATTAAATGTGTAACAGCGGCGTTTTACTGAAACAGTGAGAACATGTATGATTATTTATAGGTAGGCCTATCTGTATGTTTTTTTT